TCTACTCAACTGATGGAATTTTCCAGAGGAATAGGAAACTCAGTGTCAAGTGAAGACACTGTGTTTTGATATTAGGATGGGTCTTTTAGAGATAAATGTGTGAAGCCAGGAAAAATAGCATCAAGAGGAAATAATGCATGTGTAGGCAGTGGTGGAAATATTCAGGATCTACTTCATGGGAACTCAAACCATTATTATTTTAAAATTTCCTTCATGTTAGCACAGCTGTGAGGATGCCATCAGGCAGGGCTGTGCATTCCAGGCCTGTGGTAGGGCCTGAGTCCTGCGTGACCCTGACTCTAACCTCCATCCGCAGATGGCAGTCTCGGCTCACCCTCTTCACTGCCAACACCTAAGAACCCTCCATAGGCTTCAGACACATTTGTAAGTGATGCTGAGAACAAACCTATATTTTCAAGTTCCCAGATGCTGAACAGACACTGTCCCTTCCTGTCCACATCCCAGCTGTGACTTTCAGGTGTGGAATGACCCGCTCCATCTCACCCCGCTCAGAAAGTGCTCTCCTACCTCAAGTGGTTTTGACCTCCTTAGACTTGAAGTTCACATCCATGCCAAGCCCAAAGATTTTTGATTCTCCAAGTTCCCTGCAGAACTCCAACTAACAAGATGTGGAGGAGATAAATGAGGGTTCATTGGAGGGGATCCCACAACCAGAAACACTGGGATATAAATCTGAAATCCAGAGAGAGTGAAGGTTCCCAGATTCCAAGGAATTTGAAAAAAATACGTGCATTGGATAGAGCCTGAGAGGCATTTCTGGAAATCCACCTTAGACAACAGACCCTGAATATTAATACTCCTCAGCTACAGTGACCCTGGGTTAGCCATCTATGCGTTAGCCATCTAAGAAGGCACTGACATGTACATTCTGTTTTCTGCTTAAGCTGGATTTTCTTTCCTTCTTTCCTTTCTTCCTTCCTTCCTTCCTTTCCTTCCTCTCTCTCTCTCCCCCCTTTTCTTTCTCTCTCTCCCCGCCGCTCTTTCTTTCCTTTCTTTTCTTTCTCTCTCTCTCTCTCTCTCTCTCTCCCCCCTCTTTCTTTCCTTTCTTTCTCTCTCTGTCTTTCTTTCTTTCGAGTTTCACTCCTGTTGCACAGGCTGAAATGCAATGGCATGATCTCAGCTCACCATGACCTCCACCTCCCATGTTCAAGGGATTCTCCTGCCTCAGCCTCCTGAGTAGCTGGAATTGAAGGCATGCGCCACCATGTCTGGCTAATTTTGTGTTTTTAGTAGAGACGAGGTTTCTCCATGTTGATCAGGCTGGTCTTGAACTCCTGACCTCAGGTGATCCACCCGCCTCGGCCTCCCAAAATGCTGGGATTACAGGCGTGAGCCACCGCTACTGGCCCTAAACTGGATTTTCTTTTTGGCATTTCCCTATCAGATGCGATTTCACCCATGTCCTGTAGCTTTCACATCTCACTGTTTCAAATGGTTTCCTTTTCTTTTTCCAGAAAGGTAGGTTTGACTTTATCCAAATGACAGTGACTGCCTTACTAACAGCAGCCCTGTGACCTGTTGCCCAAGGTCAGTAGTCAGTAGCTGACCCCTCTCTGCATCCACACAGTTCCTTCCAAATCCCTTTCCCAGGGGTCCTCTAGGACTGCTGGAGTCCACTCCCATGAGGCCTCCCCTAGCGTCGTCCCCACCCTTCTCTGCCCTTCCTGTCTGCACCTAAGCCTGGAACACTGTGAGTCTTCAAAGCTCCGTATGTAAAGATTGGCTGCAGGGATTTGACATTCAGCAGCAGGATTTCATTCTGAGGTTTTGAAAAGGAACATCGTTCCAGGATAAACCTCGCTGAGCAGCGAGTGTCCCTGGTGCCGCCTCTCAGCATCTGTCTACTCTGCCTGTTTACTGTCACACCGTGAGAACAAAGAGCAGTTTACTGTTCCCTGCAAGTGTTCCCAGTCAGTCGTCACAGATGGAGTTCTGACATGACAGTTTCTGAAGGAGCTGCCTAAGAAACAGAAGCCAGGTGGCAGTTCCGCCTCCCTTGTGCATGTTCTCTGAGTCTAGCCAGTGTGGGTACTGTCCTAGCCTGTGCAGGCTGCCTTCACAGAGCCCCACAGACGGGCTGGCTGAAGCAACAGGACTCGAGCTTGCATGCTTCTGGAGGTTGGAAGTCTAAAATCAGGCACCAGCCGGGCCAGTCTCTGGTGAGGTCTCTGTCCTTGGGTTGCAGATGGCTTGGCCACCTTCTTGGTCTGCCCTCACATGGCAGAGAGAGAGAGAGAGCTGTGGTCTCTTCCTCTTCTAAGGGCACTAATCCCATCATGGGACTCTACCCTCATGACCTCATCAAACTGAATTACCTCCCAAAGACTCTCTCTCCTAATACCATCACATTGGGAGTTAAGCCTTCAAAATATGCATTTTGGGAGGACAGAAGGCAAGGCACTGTATTTGGCTTTTCTTTTGTTCTTTTTTTTGAGATGGAATCTTGCTCTGTTGCCAGTCTGGAGTGCAGTGACGCGATCTCAGCTCACTGCAACCTCCACCTTCCGGTTTCAAGAGATTCTCCTGCCTCAGCCTCCCAAGTAGCTGGGACTACAGGCACGCCACCACGCCCAGCTAATTTTTGTATTTTTAGTAGAGACGGAGTTTCACCATGTTGGCCAGGATGGTCTCAATCTCTTGACCTCATGATCCGCCCGCCTCGGCATCCGAAAGTGTTGGGATGACAGGCGTGAGTCACGGCACCCCACCTGTATTTGGCTTTTCACAGTTGTCCTTTCTTCCCCAGTCTCTTCCGCCTTGCCCTTCTTTGGTTCTCTCTGTGTGTTGTGAGAAGTCGCTGGAGACGTGCTCTTTGGTTGCTGTTGTAATGGAAGGACATTTCTTCTTCTTCTCCAGGAACTCTCCTGATGAATGCAGCGTGGCCAAAGGCGGGAAGATGGTGGGCAGCCCAGACACCGTCGGGATGAACTATGGCAGCTACATGGAGGAGAAGCACATGCCACCCCCAAACATGACCACGAACGAACGCAGAGTTATCGTGCCAGCAGGTCAGGTGCCCACAGCTTCACTGCTCTCGGCAGATCACAACTTCCCCGAGGCTAGGCTGAGCCTCGGGGAGCTCTTCTCCCCAACCTGTGGCATTCATCACGTCTTCTTTGTCCAGAGCAGGGCTTGTAAATGGGAGCTGGCAGAGGTTTGTGTATGGGGACGTGTTCACGGATCGACAGCAAAGCGAGAAAAATACGTTTGTTTATGTACTTCAGAGTTTAAAAACATGTGAGACAGCAATATGTAGCCCCAGCTATTTATTTTGCCACGTAGAGAAAAATACACACACACACTACATGTGGAGAAAAACAGAGAAAGAGGATGTCCAGGCAAACATGCAGGCTTGCTTGTGCACACACACATATGCACACATCTGTATATATCTATGAAAGGTGACCTTTCTAGGGAGGAATTGCCCCTTCTTGGAGATTATTGTGCCAAATATCCTGTCCTTCATGAGGTGCTATTTATGATAGATGATAGACTTGTTTGTTTTTAAAATTCTCTTATCTGGCAAAATAAACATTTGGGAGTCATATATTGCTGTCTTACATGTTCTTAAATATCTAAAATTCCAGCTATCACTGGCCTGTAATACAGATTCTAATAACCAGAGTAACTCTTTACTATAAACAATTCAAAACCAACCCAAAGGAATAGTTCTCAAACTTGAAAGACATGCCAAGAACTTATTTATTTAGCAAACTAAAGGTAATAGAAAGAATGACTTAAAGCTACTCAGAGGATGCATGCTACATAAAACCAGAAACATAAGAACAATAGCAACAGTCAGCAGTCAGTGAATCTTACCCTACAGGAGGCATTTGGATAAACGCTTTAGAAACATGATCTCAAAAAAGCAATCTTTGCAAATGGGCATCTTTCTCGTGATTTCCCTGATGAGGAAGATGAAGTTCAGAGAGGTCCACCAACTTTTCCAAGGGCATTTGGCTAATAAGAGGCCAAATTAGGACTCAGGCAGGTCTGCCTTACTGCTTTAGTCTCTACCTGTTGGCATTGGATTAAATCTCAGCTGCTTACAGCAGTTTCTGTGGGTTCCCTCCTGTTACTAGTTTCAGCCATCCGGTCACCCTGCAGTCCTGTCTCAGGGATTTGAATGTGGCGTTAGCTCAGGCTGAAACCCTTGGTTCCAGGTAGTTCCGTATCATTTTCCTTCACCAGGTATCCAGGCCAATGTCATGGCCTCAGGGAGGCAGTCCTGAGCACTTCCATCTAGGATTGCTCTCCACTTGCGGCTGCCAGTCTCCTGTTGGCCTGATTTTTCTTGATTTCATTCATTCCCATCTGCCAATATATTGCATGTTTATGTAAAAGTTTTCTTATTGTCCAGCCGCGATGGCTCACATCTGTAATCCCAGCACTTTGGGAGGCCGAGGTGGGCGGATCATGAGGTCAGGAGTTCAAGACCAGCCTGGCCAACATGGCGAAACCCCATCTCTACTAAAACTACGAAAATATTAGCCAGACGTGGTGGCGGTCGCCTGTAATCCCAGCTACTTGGGAGGCTGAGGCAGGAGAATCGCATGAACCAGGGAGGCAGAGGTTGCAGTGAGCCAAGATTGTGCCATTGCACTCCAGTCTGGGCAACAAGAGCAAGACTCCATCTCAAAAAAAAAAAAAAAATTTCTTATTCTCCTCCTCCCTGAATAGAACGTAAGCCCCACAAAGGCCCTATCTCCAGGGCCAGTTGCAATGCCCAGTATGTAAGAGGTGCTCAGTGAATCTTAAGGGAGTGGAGAATGGATGAACGGATGCCTCACCACTGAGCTGCACTGCACAAGTTACTCCTCGTTGCCAAAGTAGCCAAGGGCATGCATGGGTGAAATCTGCACAAACTCAATTCTCCCTTGCTCCTGGGGTCACCTAAATTCTTGTCTGTAAAGTGTGATGGCAAACAGGTTAGATTCCCTCCATGGTGTGATTTTCCCTTTACCTGAGTCCGATCATGCCCAGTGAGCTTCTGTCACCTTCTAGACAGAAGAGTTCGGGAGTGCAGGGTATTTCACAAAACATCTGGCCTGGATTTATATCCTGGGTTTCACCTTAGATTTGTCACCATGTGGCTTTCAGCAAACACGTGAAGCTGGTTCAATGCAGTGGAGTGTGAAAGGGACCATCCTTTGGGGTTGTGCCTGATTTCAAAGCATTTTTTAAGACTTATAGGAGACACTGATGGTAGATTCCATGTGTGCTTTAAGAAAGGTAGAAAACTGTCCTTAGTATTTACTGAAAGGCAGTTGACAGGTCCAGAGGCCATGCATTTGGTTTGATCGTCACAATGCAGCTGTATGCCTGAGGACTGCCTCACTTGCTGCTGTGCCTCGGAACAGGGGGCTGTTCCTGTTGGATGGGAAAAATAGAAACACAAATGTCCCAGGTGCTCATTCCAGATGTGTGGCACATAAGAAAAGCTCGAGGGCTGGGATGTGCCTGGGGGAGAGGCGAGAGGGCAGGGGCGTGTTGTCCAGACACTGGCTGGGCATGAACAAAGTGAGGTAGACACCTAAAGGAGGCCCCCTAACCCATCTTACCCTTTGCCCTCCTCTTTAAGAATATAATTTCTTCAAAGGAGACAAAGTGTTTAGATGTCAAAGATGAGAGGATCCATCTGAGGGGGCCTGCACTGAAGATTCTTTGTTCAATTGCTCATTGAATCACAGACGTAACAGGTAATGCATGGTACCATATTTTAACTGGTGAGGCTGTATTTCCATGAGGCCATCAATAGGATTTGATATCATAAATATTCTTTTCAGTAGGACCAGACTTGAGTCTTTCTACACTAAGGAAAGTATTTAGAAAATAAGAGAGATATTTGTGTGGGGAAGAGAACAGAGAATCAACTGAAGTCAGAGCACTCAGGACTTTTTTATACATAGTAGGTGCTCATCAAATGTTAGCTGGATGGATGCAAGGATAGCTCTGCAAACTGGCTTATATTAAGCTTTGATGTAAAGGCTGTTTCCCTTCTTCTGAGCGAAGTACTCTTCTCTTCAGCTCTTTCTTCCTTCAGTTGCTTCATGCCAGTGTAGGCAGTTATTCTGTTAATAGTGTTTGTAAGAGAGCTAGTTGTGGCTGATTTTGCAAGTTGTGAGTCTTTCAGTTATTGGTCAAGCTTCATGTATGTGTGCTCATACACAGAGATGAACACACACGCGCGCACACACACACATACACGGAGCTTCATTGCACAATCTGGACAATTTTCCAATGTGGCCGTGAGGTTGCAGGACCTCAGGCAGCTGTATCAGCTGCTGCATCCATCTCCATGGTATCCAGCCACCTCACTAACGCAGAGTTGGGGCACAGAGTGCCCCAGGTACGCAAAAATAATTATCCAGACCTGGTTCTGAGTGGTTCACATAGTCCTTACTACTTAGAGACATTGCTTGGCGCTAATGCAAACCATGTGGATAGCTGAATGAAAAAACAAATTAAACCATTAGTTATTCCTAAACATTTGTACCATCGTCAATACATGCCAGTGTTTACACACTAGAAATAACAGTGGTCCTAATAAACACTGATGAGAAAATTTGTACTGTGTGGAGACTGAGAGATAAAGCCACAGAGGAGCTGGGAGGCTTTGTCCGTGTTCAAATTGGGTTCTGGTACCTGGAATCCAGTTTTGAGAAGTGTTTCCCTCATCCCTGCTTTTGAGACTCATGATCTTGAGTTATTAAAGAAGCCCATAAAAAAGTGTCAAAAAAAGCCCATACGAAAGTGTCAACTAGAAAATGTCCCTAATGAATAAATGTAGATTGTCATTTGATATATTTACACTGCCTCCTATTTCAGAACAGATTTAAGAAAGCTCACGTAGATACATATGAAAGAGCACGGTAGAATCCACTTTTTAAAAATAAAGGAATGTGGAGTATGAACTAAAATAAGAGGAGTGAGGTTTACATGCATGCATGTGTGTGTGTGTGTATTTTTAGTTGCAATTTTAAAATATTGCAGAATTGCAAAAGGTAGGTGTTGTTGGCTTCGAGGGATCATCAGGCAGTGTGAAAGGGGTAATTCAGCGTCCACAGGATAAAAAGAAAGCAAATGTGAAAAGATGGTCCAGCTATTAATTCCGAGTCTGGAGGAAGATGTGTTCCTCTGTTTGTCCTAAGGAAGATAGGGGGAGTCACGAGCAAAGCGATCAACCAGTGGCGTCACCAGGCATTCTGGGCAGCCCTGGTTTGTGCCTGTTGTTCTGGCAAGACTGTTGATTGTGCCTTCCCGAAGGGTACTGATTAGGCCGTGATTCACGTCTCTGGTTTTTATCTATGTATTTGGTGCACGTATCTATAAATCTAGGTGGATCTCTCATAGGGCCGGGCAGTTTCTTGCGTTGTTGTAGATTCAAGTGTCATTCAGTGAAACCAGTTGTGATAAGAGCGGTCTGATAAGTGTGACATCCCCCATGCTGGTTACTTGGCTCTTTTATGGCCCAGCGTAATTTGGAGGTTGACTAGAAAATGTTTTTCTTTTTCTTCTTTTCTTTTCTTTTTTTTTTTTTTTTTTTTTGTTTCTGAGACAAAGTCTCACTCTTGTCCCCCAGACTGGAGTGCAATGGCACAATCTCAGCTCACTGCAACCTCCGCCTCCCAGGTTCAAGTGATTCTCCTGCCTCAGCCTCCTGAGTAGCTGGGATTACAGGCGCCCGCCACCACGCCAGGCTAATTTTTGTATTTTTAGTAGGGATGGGGTTTTACCATGTTTGCCAGGCTGGTCTCAAACTCCTGACCTCAGGTGATCTGCCCACCTCGGCCTCCCAAAGTGCTGGGATTACAGACATGAGCCACTGCGCCCAGCCTAGAAAGTGTTTTTCAAAGTATGATCAGAACCACTTGCATCAAGATTACCTGGAAAATTTATGATTAAAAATACACATTTCCTGCCAGTCATAGTGGCTTACACCTGTAATCCCAGCACTTTGGGAGACCAAGGAGTTCGACACCAGCCTGGACAACATAGTTAGACCCCA